CTACCCCCTCGTGGGCAACTACGGCGTCCCGCAGGATGAGCCTGACCCGCATGGCCTCAGCCGGGTGAGTGCCGGGGGTGCCGCCGGGGGCCGCACAGCCAGCCAGGCCCGGGCTGCTGGCAGCCGGCGGCAGGTTGGCATCAGCTCTGCTGTGAATTTGGCTGGAGCAACCTGGACTCCCGTGGGCCCTGGCGACTGTCCAGCCTGGCAAGGCCGTCCTCCGGGGCTGGCCGGAGGGGCACAGATGGGCTTGCGGCCTCTGGGAAAAGACGCTGCGTGCTGGGGCTGGCTGGCAGGGTTGCCGTGTAGCCACGGGCCAGGGCAGGGCCCCTCTGCTGTGCTGTGAGCACTGCCTTGCCCTGCGGTGCCAGGCAGTGCCTCTCCCCTTAGGGAGCTAGCTTTGAATCTGCAGCCCCGGGCAGCCACATACCGGCCATGCCACCTGTCTGACTGCGTTAGCATCGCCGCCCAGGAGCCAGCATGTGCTGGGACTGCTGGCTCCCCTGGGGCTTTGCATCAGCACAGATCTGCCATGGGTCAGCAGGGAGCCCATGCCCGTGCAGCCTCTTGCAGGCCTGCACAGACTGGCTGTGGGGGCCTGCGGGGCTGCCAGGAGGAGTTCCAGCCTGTCCTCCCTGAGTGGCTGGGCCGGGGGTGTCTGGGTCCCCAGAGGTGTCTCAGGGGCCGTGTCCGGTCCTTCATCACTGCGGGGCATTTGCCAGTAAGGAGTCCCAGGGTCAGAGTCCAGTCTTGCTATCATGGGCAGGTGCCCTGTCGCCCCCCTCACGTGGATCCAGCTCTGTCCTGACTGTGGCTCTGCAGGGCGGCTGGCCTAATCCCTCCACTCTGCTCTAGGCCCTCTGCTCCCGTCCGGCCTTGGGGGTGTTCCTGGTCATATGTCCCCCTTGCCCGTGCCAGCCCCGTCCTTCGGCTTAGCCTGTTCCTCCTACAGCAAATGCGTGCTCCTTGGCTGTGACCTCCCTGGCCTGGGCCCAATGGGTTCCTAGCCCCTCGCTGGTGTGTCCTGGGTCACACCTGTCCTCTTCGTGCTGGTGGCATGTTACACAGTGGTGCACCCAGGGCTGCCACTACCAGCACCTCTGCCCTCTCCAAGGGCCTTGGCTGATTCTGGGCAGTAGGAAGGCCTGAGCGTGCCCCTCTGGAGTACCAGGGTCCCTTCCTGGGCCCATATGGGAGAGGGCCAGGCCCCAGTGTCTGCTGCACCCCGAGAATGGGGCACGCACAGTCCTGCAGCCTTGTGCCTCAGGGCAGCTCCCTGCTCCCCCAGGCCCTGCTCCCCACCCTGCTAACCCCACTTCTGCACACAGTGGTTCGAGTCCAGCAAGATCCATGTCGCAGCACTCATCGTGGGCGAGTGCTCCCAGGTTTGCAGCCACTGGAGCGCGGCCCTCTCCCTGGACCAGTGGCTGAAGGAGCAGAACATCCCCGGCCTGGAAGGTGGGCCTTGGCAGGGGTGGGGTGGGGCAGGGGCGTGCAGGGGGCTCTGGTGCTAATGCCCATCGCTCCCAGGGGTGGACACCCGTGCACTAACAAAGCGGATCCGGGAGAAGGGGACGCTGCTGGGGAAGCTGGTGCCAGATGGGACCCCTGAGAAGAGCCTGCCCTTCGAGGACCCCAACACACGGCACCTGGTGCGCGAGGTCTCCCTGAAGGTATGGCCAGGCCCTCTGCCCCGTGGAGGGGGGTGGGGGCCATGGGGAGGACAGGGCAGTGCTGAGCACATGGGTGACAGAAGCATCCTGGGCACTAGGTTGTTTCCCCACTCCCCTCCAGCCCTGCTGGTCTTGGGGGTCTCTGCCCTCCTCCCCACTGGCCCCAGCAAGTGCTGTCAGCTTCAGGCTGGGGCCCATGCTCCTGTTGTCCTGGGGCAGCAGGGGCTTGCACCTGGCCTGGTAGCGAAGTGGCCGCTGGACTCTGACCCTCGAACCCCACAGGAGCCCCGAGTGTTCAACCCCAGTGGCTCGGTCCGGATCATGGCTGTGGACTGCGGCCTGAAGTACAACCAGGTGCGATGCCTGTGCCAGCGTGGAGCAGCTGTGACCGTGGTGCCCTGGGACCACCCCCTGGACAGTGCAGGTGCGTGCGGGCCCTGTCCAGCTGGGTCGGGGGCAGTCACTGGTAAGGCTTAGTGTGTAGGTATAAGGGCCAGGTGCCGAGGGTGGAGCCAGCTGCGTGCGCACGAGAGCAGGGGGCCTGGAGCTTGCTAGGGTGGGTTGAGGGACAGGGGACACCTGGGGCTTGGAGCCCTGGTGCAGTGACCCCAAACAGTGCGAGACCCAGTGACAAATCCTCTCAGCCATTAGTGCTGGGAGAAGGGGAAGGGCAGCTGGGGGTGTCCTGGGCAGGGCAGGGGCAGTGCCTGCTCCGACTATCCCTGTCCCTTAACCTTAACCCTTGCCCCACAGAGTTTGATGGGCTATTCATCAGCAATGGCCCAGGAGACCCACAGTGCTGCCAGGAGACTATCGCTGGCCTGCGCCACGTGCTGGCTGCACCCCAGCCCAAGCCTGTCTTTGGCATCTGCCTGGGGCACCAGCTTCTCTCGCTGGCCGTTGGCGCCAAGACCTACAAGATGAAGTGAGTGTGGGGGAAGGGAGGCCCCAGCCACAGGGCTGTGGGGGGTGGGGGCTCAGGGCTTTGCCCCAGCTGGGTCTGTGCCCATGGGAGTGGCCCTGAGTGCTGGCATGGAGCCCCCCTTCCCATGTCCCCCACAACCCCTCAGCCCAGTCCATGAGGTTGCCTGGGTCTCCCATGGGCCCAGAGAGGGGAAATTTCCTTCCTGCATCCCTAATCAGCTGCCTGCCTCTCATGCCCACTGGTGCTGCAGGAAGGCCCCTGCCTGGGGTGGGGGTGGCCAGTGTGCCCCTACCCTTCTTAGCTGTGGGCTCTGCAAGATGTGTCATCTGACCTGCCCCGCCATATCCTGCAGGTACGGGAACCGTGGGCACAACCAGCCATGCATCCATGAGGACTCGAAGCGCTGCTTCATTACCTCTCAAAACCACGGCTTCGCAGTAGAGCCAGGCAGCCTGCCTGCTGGTTGGGCCCCACTCTTCACTAACGCCAACGACCGCTCCAATGAGGGCATCGTGCACAACACCAAGCCCTTCTTCAGGTGGGTAGACCGAGGGGGTGGGAATGGGCTGAGGGGCGGCTGCCACCCTGACACTCCAGGGGGGTCGGGCAGTACTGGGGTGGCCCTTCCCTTTTGCATTCATGCCTGGGGGCCTGGGTGCAACGTGGAGGGTCCCAGGTGTGGCATGGCAGGTGGCAGTATGTGTCTAGTCCATCCTGGCCTGGCACCTTGGTGGGGGCTGGGCTGGGCCAGGCTGGACAGTGCGTGTCATGGTGATGTGTCGGACTCGTGGTGCTGTAGGGAGGTTAGGCAGGGGACTTGGCCCAGTGTTGTCATTAGGGCTGTGTGAGGCTTCGGACAGAGCTTCGGATCCGGAGAAGCTTCGGACACTTTGGGGGCCGAAGCAGCAACTCCGGGTCAAAGTGCTGCCTCATTTGGCTTTCCAAAGCGGTTGGGAGCCGCCTCGGAGATCCGGCCGTAGGGTATAATGGGGAAACAATAAAATATCTATAACTTTGTTGTTTTTTGTCCTATTTGGACGGGATGGCAGACTCTGCAGAGAGGATGAAGTCTGCCAAGGTTCGAGAAGATTGGTGCAGGGGTTTGGGGGGAACGGCACCCCAAATTCTTGAAAGCAAAACCCATGTCACGTCTAGGCGTTACAACCTAGCAGGGTGAAAACTGCAGGGGAGGTAGCTCTTACTGAGGCCACAAGGCCTGCCAAATTTCAAGAAGATCGGTGCAGGCGTTTGGGGCGAATTGCCCCTCAAGCTGCAGACAAGCAAAACTCATGCCATGGGTGCTTGTGGGACTGACTGTGTCTGTCTTGGGGCGGGAGAGGAGACAGGCTGCAGGCCTGGCTGCTAAGCTGCTGTGTTCCCAGTTACCAATCAATCCATCATGATTCACTCAGGGGCCCAGCTCAATACACAGGACCTAGCTACTGCATAACAACTTAAGGAGCATCAGTTAGCACCTACAAAACCAGGCTAAGGAGAGGAAAGACTCACTACAGACAATCAACTGCCCCAAGACAGAGAGTCTTGGCACCAGTTTTGTCAGCAGCTAGGGGTGCAGGCCCCAGAACCCCCCTGCACCAATCTCCTCGACAGCTGGCAGCGTCACAGCAGGGGCCACCACCCCTGCAGCTGTCACCCTGCTGCGCCCTAGCACACGCAGTGTCACCCATGGCACAAGTTTTGCATGTCAGCAGCTTGAGGTGCAGGTCCCCCCCAACCCCTGTACCCATCTCCTTGAAACGTGGCAGGCTTTGTGGCCTCAGTAAGAGCTACCAGCCCTGCAGTTTTGACCCCCCTGTGTTGTAACATGCAGCTGTGACATGAGTTTAGCTTTCAAGAATTTGGGGTACAGTTCCCCCAAACCCCTGCACCGAGCTTCTTGAAACTTGGCAGGTTTCATGCTCTCATCAGTGGCTACCATCCCTGCAAGTTTCATCCAAATTGGACAGAAAAAACCCCAAAGTTATAGATATTTCATTGATTCCACATTATACCCTATGGCTGGATCTCCAAGGCGGCTCTGAAGCTTCGGAGCCGGATCGAGGTGGAAACCGGCTCTGGAGCTCCGGCTCTGGAGCTCCAGATCAGATTGCGGCCATCTGAAGTGGCCAGATCCAAAGCCGGATCAGATCGCTGCCGACTCGCACAGGCCTAGTCGTCATGGTGATGGGTTTGGCCTGATCCAGGCACCACGGTGCTGTGGGATGCTGGCGTGGGCCTGCGGTGGTGGGGGAGGGGTCGTCTAACTGGCCCAGTGCTGTCATGGCAATGGGGTTGGCCTGGCACAGGTACCGCTGTGGGCAGGCTGGGCAGGGGGTGCGCGTCTGAGCCAGCTGCCTGTCCCGTGACAGTGTTCAGTTCCACCCCGAGCACCGGGCAGGCCCCAGCGACCTTGAGGGCCTCTTTGACATCTTCCTGGACACAGTGCGAGACCTGCGTGCCGGGAGCCCAAGCCCCAAGACAGGTGGGATCCTGGGCCAGGAGGAGGTGGGGGGTTGGTCTGGGAAGCTGTGGGTGCAGCTGTGGCCTGTTGGAGCCCCTCATCGCTGAGTGCTTGGTGCAGGGCCTGGCACATGGGCCTTGCCCTGGAAGAAGACGCCTCTGGGCTGTGGCTGTGGCAGCATGTGTGGCCTGGGGAGGGCCATGTCCCAAGCGAAGGGACCTGGGCTGTGCTGCTGCCTCTGGGGGTGGCAGGGGGTCTCCTGATGCTGGGCACCCTCTCTGTGCTCTTTTGGGCATGGCAGCCACTGAGCTTGTGGTCCTGCCTGGATGTCCCCCAGTGGGGGCCCTGCTGTGAGTGCTGGGTAATGGGTACTGGGCTGTGTTCTCTGCAGTGCGGGAACGTCTGCAGCAGTGGCTGACGTACAGCGAGCCCCTGGCAGGTGGCGACTCAGCCCGGCCGCGCAAGGTGTTGATCCTGGGCTCGGGGGGTCTCTCCATTGGCCAGGCTGGGGAGTTCGACTACTCTGGCTCGCAGGTGAGCCCTACAGCTCGGGGAAGGCAGGTGTTGGGAGGACACAGTGTTCAGTGCCCTTCAGGGACAGGAGGTGGAGTCATCATGCGAAGGGGAAATGTTGTGGGGACATGGGGTAACGCAGCAGCAGGACACAGCTGGGGACTCTATGATGGTGGGGTTAGGGGGTCCCTGTGATAGCAGGGGTGCAGGGATGTGGGAGGTTTGGTGTGATGGCAGGGGGGTGCAGAAAGATGCTTGGCTGTCATCAGGCCCCCCTGACTCTCTGACAGGCCATCAAAGCCCTGAAGGAAGAGAACATCCAGACAGTGCTGATCAACCCCAACATCGCTACGGTGCAGACCTCCAAGGGCCTAGCTGATAAGGTGTACTTCCTGCCCATCACCCCAGACTATGTCACCCAGGTGAGTCCCATGGGCAGCACTGGACCAGGGAGAGGGGGCAGGGGGCCCTGCCAGCAGGAAGCCCCTGTCTCACTGCTGTTTTGGTGCCAGGTGATCAAGAATGAGCGGCCAGATGGGATCCTGCTTACCTTCGGGGGCCAGACGGCGCTGAACTGCGGGGTGGAGCTTACCAAGGGCGGCGTGCTGGAGCGATACTGTGTGCGGGTGCTCGGCACACCCGTGGCCTCCATTGAGATGACCGAGGACCGCAAGGTCTTTGTGGAGAAGATGGAGGAGATCAATGAGCACGTGGCACCCAGTGAGGCTGCATTCTCCCTGGAGCAGGTGTGGGGAAGAGAAGGAGGTTGTTGGGGCTCTGTCCTGATGTCCTTGGCCAGGGCCCTGGGGGTTGTGCCAGCATCCCAGGGTGGCATCCCATGCTGGGCTGGGGGCTTCCAGCATAGGCCTCGGATCCTGCGTTCCCTGTGCTGGGACATTGACACCAGGTCCATCCTGCTGGTCGCATGAGGGGAATCTGCCTGGGCCCCTAAAACCAGTGGCCTTACAGTGCCCCCTGTGTTCATAGCACTGTCTCCCCCTGCGTACCCTGCCTGCGCCCCTCCCTCTACCCCATCGCCTGCACTGACTCTCCCCTTGTCCCACAGGCCCAGGCAGCAGCTGAGCGGCTGGGCTACCCTGTGCTGGTGCGCTCAGCCTATGCGCTGGGGGGCCTGGGCTCTGGCTTCGCCAGCAGCAGGGAGGAGCTGACAGCACTGGTGAGCCAGGCCTTCGCCCACACGTCCCAGGTGCTGGTGGACAAGTCCCTGCAGGGTTGGAAGGAGATCGAGTACGAGGTTGTGCGCGATGCCTACAACAACTGTGTCACCGTGAGTCAGGGCCAGGGCCAGGATTGGGAGAGGAACCTCTCTCTGCTCATGGGCTTGGTGGGAGGTGAGTGCAGGAGGACAGGGCCCCACCGCATGGTGACAGACCCTCATCTTCACCCCTCCCCACAGGTCTGCAACATGGAGAACCTGGACCCGCTGGGCATCCACACGGGCGAGTCGATCGTGGTGGCGCCCAGCCAGACGCTGAACGACCGGGAGTACAACATGCTTCGGCACACAGCCATCAAGGTGGTGCAGCACCTGGGCATCGTGGGCGAGTGCAACATCCAGTATGCATTGAACCCCGAGTCTGAGCAGGTGAGGGCTGGTGGGACAGCGTCCCTTACCCTGTGGTGCCCTGCAGCTACAGTGTGCTGTGCTCCAGGTGGCAGTCTGTGGTACAGGAACGTGTCCTGGTGCCATCCCATGCCTGCCAAGTGCCCTGCACCCCCCAATAGTAGCCTGCTTGTGGACCAGGGAGAGGGGGCAGGTCTCCACCCCTGGGCCCCCTTAGAGCTGGGCACTGCGTGCCCTGTGCTTTGCTGTGAGGGGGCCCTGCGGAGGGGGGCTGGAGGTATTGCTTTACAACTGTGGTGCAGTCCTCATGCTGGCCCTGCTGCCCCCGCAGTACTACATCATCGAGGTGAACGCCCGGCTCTCCCGCAGCTCGGCCCTGGCCAGCAAGGCGACTGGCTACCCCCTGGCCTACGTGGCAGCCAAGCTGGCGCTGGGCATCCCCCTGCCTGTCCTCAGGTAACAGCCTGGTGCGCAGGGGTGGGGGTGCTGGGCCTGTTTGGCACTGCAGCAGGCCTCGAGGGTCGGGGGGACAAAGATGGGGGAGTCCGGTCTGTCGGGAAGAGGGGGCGATGGGTGGGCTCTGCCTGCTGCCCCCAGACTGCAGGGCAGAGTAGAGGTGTCTGGCGTGTCCTGGGCTTCTGGACTTTGCTGCTTGCTGCATGGAGCTGAGAAGGAATTGTTTCCCAGCTTGCTGCTCTGCGTCGGGATTTTCTCACCTCCCCCAGAGGCGCTGTGTGCTGGATGCATCCCAGGCTGGGGAGGAAGACGGGGCTGTGCCACTGCTCCTGGCACCGACCTTGCAGGGTCCTGGCTATAGGGTCTTGCCCCCAGCTCGGGATCAGACCAACGTTGCATTGGGGGCAGGAAGGGATTTCCCCCCTGGTCAGATCAGTATGGACTGGGGAGGATTTGCCTTCTTGTGTAGTGGTGGCATGGACCGGCCTGGGATCTCTGTGCATTTATGCCCTTGGCAACAGCAGGGTACCACCAGCCCTTGTCCCCCAGCTGCACCTGGGGTAGGGCCAGGGGCTGTCAGTGTCTTGTTGGGGCATCTGGTTGTGTGACAAAATTGACTTGTGTGACATCAGCAACAGGTCAGGCAAGGACGTGTCTGGGATGGTTTGGATGAGGCTGATGCTGCTTAGAGCGGGGGCTGAGTTAGCTGTGACCTCCAGAGAGCCCTGCCAGCCGGACTGCTTCCACTCCATGGCTGCCGGGCTCTGGGGCCTGCCGTTACCCCTGGCACAACCTGGGGGGAAGGTGGGGTGTGAATGGGAAGAGTCCGATGTCTGGGCCCTCATGGCAGTTTTGGCAGCATCCTGGGAGTGCTGGACCCAGGGAGGGAGAACACCTGGTGGTTGGAGGGTTCAGCCCCTCAGACCCTGGTGCCCTAACCCCCCGGCTTTGGCCAGCCTGGCTTCCAGAGTCCTCTGCACTGCAGCGTGCTCTGCCCCCCAACCTCTCCCTGAGCAGAACAGCCCGACGAGCTCCCAGCCTCCCCCAGGAGATGCTTCCTGCCTCCCTCCTTCCCCTGCCCAGTCCCACCTCCGTAGCCCCCCTCTGTAGGCTCAGCCCTCACCCCCCGACCCCACAGCTGAGCCCAGGGCTGGGTGCTGATGCCCCAATTCTGGCAGGAACTCAGTCACCAACTCCACCACGGCCAACTTTGAGCCTAGCCTGGACTACTGCGTGGTGAAGATCCCACGCTGGGACCTCAGCAAGTTCCTGCGTGTCAGCACCAAGATTGGCAGCTCCATGAAGAGTGTTGGTGAGCAACCCCTTGGCCCAACAGCCCAGCCCCCTCTTCCCACGACACCCAGGCTCCCACATGGCCTGGTGCCCTCCCCCCTCTGCTGCCCTGTGGTTCTGCCCAGCATGCCCCCCCACTCCTCCCCGCTGGCTGCACCAGGGTTACATGCGGCCCTGCCCCCACCCCCAGTGGCTGCTGACACCACTGCTCCCCCGTGCAGGAGAGGTCATGGCCATCGGGCGCAACTTCGAGGAGGCCTTCCAGAAGGCACTGCGCATGGTGGACGAGAACTGTGTGGGCTTCGACCACACTGTAAAGCCGGCCTCAGACGTGGTGAGTGCTGACCAGGGCTGGTGGGCACCTGGGGCTGCCTGGCAGATCCTGCCAGGGCCCAGGTCACCCCCTCCATCCCCCCAACAGGAGCTGGCAACGCCAACAGACAAGCGGATCTTTGTGCTGGCAGCCGCTCTGCGCGCTGGCTACAGCATTGAGCGCCTGTACGAGCTGACACGCATCGACCGCTGGTTCCTGCACAAGATGAAGAACATCACAGACCACGCGCTGCTGCTGGAGTCCTACCGCCAGGGCAGCCCCATGCCACCTTCCGTGCTGCAGAAGGCCAAACAGCTGGGCTTCTCCGACAAGCAGGTGGCCCTTGCTGTGCTCAGGTGATCTGGCAGTTTGAGGCCACAGCAGGCCTGTATCCACCTAGGGCTGAGGGTGGGGCAGCGGACAGGTATTAGAGAGAGAACATAGTAAAATAGATAAGTGGAGCTGTAGCCCTGTTGGTATTTGCTGGTATTCATTGGTATTCCCTGTTGGTGAGTGGATTTGGAGATGATGGCAACCTTTTCCGCCTCTGAAGTTCTCTCCCCACTTTGAGGTTACCTGCAGTGAGGGGTAGGGCCCTGTGCGCTGGGGATACGAGTGCCTGGTTAGTCCTTTACTTGCCATGTTGCAGGTGCTGGACCATGGGGCTGTTCATGGACTGTGGCAGTGCCTCTCCCATGAGCCAGCAAAGCTTGATGTGTAACAGGCACTGGAAAGTTCACGGCTTGGCCAAGGGTTGTTCCCAGACTGGGGTCACATGAGCTGTGGGCCTGGACCAGAGGCTGTGAGCCCTGTTCCTGCAGAAGGGTCCCGTCCCCTCCATGACCAGAGATGCACAACCCCTAGTGCGGCCCTGGCCAAGGGGGTGGAGGAGGTTCCCAGGGAGGCTGTGTGCATGGCTGTCAGGCCCGTGGAGCATGCTGCCGTTATGAGCAGCAGGATGTCTGGGACGTATGTTCCTTGGTGACTGAGGGTGGTTTTGTCTCTGGGGGTCATGCCCCATTTGGGGAATGACACAGGGCATCTTAATAAAATGGACTTCCTGTTTCCTGCAGCTGGTTTTTCTCTGACACCCTGTGAACTGGGGGCAGGCGGGCAGGGGGTGGAGCGGGCAGCTCCCTGCAGCCCAGCGATGGCCAGGTGCCCTGGGGTTGTACAAGCAGCCCCTGCCCTGGCTCAGCCCTCCCCCTCTCTCTCCCCAGCACAGAGCTGGCCGTGCGGAAGATGCGTCAGGACCTGAAGATCCTGCCCGTGGTGAAGCAGATTGACACGGTGGCGGCTGAGTGGCCGGCACAGACCAACTACTTGTACCTGACCTACAATGGCCGTGAGCATGACCTGCCCTTCCGCGAGCCCCATGTCATGGTCATCGGCTCCGGTGTCTATCGCATCGGCAGCAGTGTTGAGTTTGACTGGTGCGCCGTCGGCTGCATCCAGGAGCTGCGCAAGGTCCGTGCCCAGCAGTTCAGGCCAGGAGGGCTCTGGGATCCTGGCCTGGGCCCTGCTGCATCCCCCACCCTGCACTTGATGTCTCCTGCAGATGGGCTTCAAGACCATCATGGTGAACTACAACCCCGAGACAGTGAGCACTGACTACGACATGTGTGACCGGCTCTACTTCGATGAGATGTCCTTTGAGGTGAGGCCAAGTGGCTGCGGGGGGGAGGAGCCTTGGGCATTGATCCAGGGGGGCTGTCAGAGGTTGGTGGAGAGAGCATAGGTTGCCATGGGGGCCTATGGTACCCGGGCCTGGTCCTGCTCTGCTAGCTGGTGCCCGTCCCCAAGTGCATGCCCTGCTCTGCTCCTGCCCCACAGGTAGTGATGGACATCTATGAGCTGGAGAGCCCCGAAGGCGTAATCCTGTCCATGGGGGGGCAGCTGCCCAACAACATCGCCATGGCGCTGCATCGGCAGCAGTGCCGCATCCTAGGCACCTCTCCTGAGGCCATTGACTCTGCCGAGAACCGCTTCAAGTTCTCCCGCCTGCTAGACACCATTGGCATCAGCCAGCCCCTGTGGAAGGAGCTCTCTGACATGGAGGTAAGAGTGGGTTGGGGCTGGGGGGCTGGGGTGGGGCAGCCCGGGCATCTGCTGGTTTAGGTAGGGGGCTGGGCAGGCAAGTATGTCCTGGCTGAGTTAGGCTGGGCAGGGGAAAGGGAGACTGGGGAGTGGGCTGTCAGGTTCAGGGCTGTGGTGGTTGTGGGAGGGAGGCCAGGGAGTGCCTGGGTCCTGGCTGAGCTGGGCAAAGGGGCAGGAGGCTGGGGGTGGTGGAGTGGGTTGGGGTTAGGTCTGGGAGGGGGAGGCCAGGGGCAGGTGGCTCTGCGCCTGCCTGATGCCAGCCGTGCCTGCAGTCGGCCAAGCAGTTCTGCTGCAAGGTGGGGTACCCATGTGTGGTGCGCCCCTCCTACGTGCTGAGCGGTGCTGCCATGAACGTGGCCTACTCAGACAGCGATCTGGAGAAGTTCCTGTGCAACGCTGTGGCCGTGTCCAAAGAGCAGCCCGTGGTCATCTCCAAGTTCATCCAGGAGGCCAAGGTCAGGGGGCTGTCCTGCCTGCTGTGGGCACCCACTGCTGCTTGCCAAGGGGGGTGGCCTGGGGCACGTGACATCACTGAGAGCCAATTGCAGAGCTTTGCTGCCGCCTCCATGCCACTCCTGCATGGCAGCACAGCTCTGATCTCCCACCTCGGCCCATCACACTCCTGGCCAGTGTTGCAGACCTCTGACAGCCTCACCTGCCAGCCACCCCAGAGCCTTTCCCACCCCCTCCGTTCTTGGGCTCCGGGATGGACTGGGGGTGGCTGGGCTGGGTTGAGGGATTTGTTTGGGGGGTTTCTGGTCCAGGCTGCCCCATCCCTGCTGATGGCAGCTCCCGCTGGCAGGAGATTGATGTGGATGCTGTGGCCTGTGATGGGGTGGTGGTGGCCATTGCCATCTCAGAGCACGTGGAGAACGCGGGTGTGCACTCGGGCGATGCCACCCTGGTGACACCCCCCCAGGACATCACCCCCAAGACGCTGGAGCGCATCAAAGCCATCGTGCACGCTGTGGGGCAGGAGCTACAGGTCACAGGGCCCTTCAACCTGCAGCTCATCGCCAAGGTACTGCAAAGAGGAGCTGGCCTGGGCAGGGGCTGGGCACAGGGCCCCAGGGACAAGGGATTAGCCTGCTGTGGTGCAGGGCCCCCCACTTCCCCAGGCGCCTCACAGCCTCTCCTGGCAGGATGACCAGCTAAAGGTGATCGAGTGCAACGTGCGCGTGTCCCGCTCCTTCCCCTTCGTCTCCAAGACACTGGGTGTGGACCTGGTGGCCCTGGCCACGCAGGTGATCATGGGCCAGGAGGTGGAGTCTGTAGGGCTGATGACCGGTACTGGTATCGTTGGTGTCAAGGTGAGCCAAGGGAGAGGTCAGTGCTGGTTTTGCCATGGGTCAGGGCAGGGAAGGGGCCATGTGCTGGTGCTGCCTGGGGCTTGGGTGTGGGAAGGGGCTGTGCACTGCTGCTGCCTTGGGCCAGGGCAGGGGAAGAGCTAAGTGCTGACTCTGGTGCCCAGTGGTCACACTGCACTCGTGGCCCAGGTGCCACAGTTCTCATTCTCACGGCTGGCGGGTGCAGACGTGGTGCTGGGTGTGGAGATGACGAGCACGGGCGAGGTGGCCTGCTTCGGGGAGAACCGCTGTGAAGCCTACATGAAGGCCATGCTCAGCACTGGCTTCCGCATCCCCAAGAAGAACATCCTGCTCACCATTGGCAGCTACAAGGTATGGGGAGGGTGAGGGCAGGGGCTGCCAAGCTCTGGGCGGAGGCAGGGGTGCAGCAGGCGCTGACTCCCTGGTGACTGTTGCAGAACAAGAGTGAGCTGCTGCCCACGGTGCGCACACTGGAGAGCCTGGGCTACAACCTGTATGCCAGCCTGGGCACCGCTGACTTCTACACCGAGCATGGCATCAAGGTAGCAAGGGGCAGCAGTCTGCCCACGGCAGGGCTCTCTGCCTGTCTCCTCCCTCTGCCCAGGGCTGTGGGGCCTGCACTTTGAGCTTGCAGCTTCTGGGTATCCTGGCTCTGCCTCTGGAGCACAACGCTCTGGTCCCCATTGGCATTGCCAAGTCCAGGACTTGGGAGTATTCATTGGTGTCACTGGTGCAGGGGCAAGGCCCCCTGGATCCATGTCAATGTCACTGGTGCAGGGTGGGGGTCCCCGTTGCAGGGCCTGGGGCTGGAGCAGGTCTCACTTCCCTGGGGCAGGTGATGGCCGTGGACTGGCACTTTGAGGAGACCGATGGCAGTGAGACAGGCACCAAGAGCATCCTGGACTACTTGGCAGAGAACCACTTTGAGATGGTCATCAACCTGTCCATGCGCAATTCGGGTGGGCGCCGCCTCTCCTCCTTTGTCACCAAGGGCTACCGTACACGGCGCCTGGCTGTTGACTACTCCGTACCTCTCATCATCGACATCAAGTGCACCAAGCTCTTTGTGGAGGTAGGGACGGGGGGGCGCTGGGTTCAGTATCCTAATTGCAGGCCTGGGAGAGTGCCTCTGCCCCAGAGGCACTAGGCGGCAGAGGAGGCAGGGGTGGGGCAGGAGACCAAAAGGGTCTGGTACTGTCAGCAGGGCCCTGCCATCCCTGATCTATTCCCTGCCACCCATAGGCACTGGGCCAGATTGGGGCAGCCCCCCCGCTGAAGATCCATGTGGACTGCATGACCTCCCAGAAGCTTATCCGCCTGCCAGGTATGCCAGGGAGGGCTGGGGGGACTGGCTGGGAGGGGTGAAGAGGTCACTAGACTGAGGCAGCTGAGGAGCTGGAGTGCAGGGGCCCCAGGGATTGCGCCTTGGTGCCTGTCCCACCCTGAGGTGCTGTGGCCCCAGGAGCCCTGGGCACTCTGCAGCTGGCTTTCCCCAAAGCCCAGGGCTCTGCCTCATGGGGGAGGAGGGGCAGGGCCCTTTGTACTGTGAGGGGACAGCCTGGCAGGTCCTGGGCTGCTGGATGCCAGCACGGGACTAGGCAGATGGGGCCCAGGCTCTGATGTGCCCTCCCCACAGGACTGATTGATGTGCATGTGCACCTGCGCGAGCCGGGGGGCACCCACAAGGAGGACTTTGCATCGGGCACAGCAGCTGCGCTAGCGGGGGGCGTCACCATGGTGTGTGCCATGCCCAACACCAGCCCTGCCATCACTGATGCTGCCTCCTTCGCCCTTGTGCAGAAGGTAAGTCCCTGCACCTCTCACGCTGTACAGAGAACCCACTGCCACTGCCATTGCCACTGCAGGCACCTGCCTGGGGCCCTCCTGCTGCTGCAGGGCTGGTACTGGGCTGGCAGCCCCACTGCAGCTGACATACCCAGCCCCATGGGCAGCCAGGCCCTAGCCATGGGGTCTGGTGGGGCTTGGGGAGGGGGTTCTGACATGGTGCACAGGGCCCCTGGGCTGGTGCACCTGACCCTTGTCTCCTGCAGCTGGCTGAGGCGGGTGCGCGCTGCGACTTCGCCATGTATCTGGGGGCCTCATCGGACAACGCCAGTGCCCTAAGCCCCATGTCTGGTGTGGCTGCTGGGCTCAAGATGTACCTGAACGACACCTTCTCTGACCTCAGGATGGACAACGTCTCGCTCTGGATGGAGGTGGGGGCAGGG